GAAGCTGCTGCAAATTTTCCACTGCCGAGAATATGATCTATGGAGTCCATTCCCGACCTGTCAAAATAGCAAACACAAGTTGTTGGCTGAATGCCAAAATTAGTAATCCTATCGTTAGTAGGGAGTTTACCCCTAAGGGCTCTCCATAACAAAAAGGAAGATTTAAAAGGAATGTTCTTATGCCATAGAAGAGAGTTGAAGTGATTCTTGACCCTTTTTTCTCTAATCTCTTCCAAAGCTGATGAACAACTGAAACCACCATGTGTGTTGGGTTTCCAAACTGCATGATCTGGTAACTGCTGGAGGGGGGAGATGTATGTAGCTAGTATGTTGGAGAGCTGACTAGCGGGTGCTTGCTCCAACAGTTTGCTCAAACTCCATCTCCCTCTTCCCAAAAATCTGCAACTTTGGAGTTACTGAGTCTATTGTTGCTTGAGGTAAGGTGAGCTAATGGTCCACTGCCTAGCCAATTATCCCACCAAAATGAGCAATTTCCACCTTGTAGCTTTAATTGGATGTGTTGCTTAACTTGTGGCCTGTTCATCAACATGTTTTTCTAACAAAAGAGTGATTTTTGATACGTAGATACATGTTAATGTTTTGGTCTAATAAATAAAGAAGTACATCTCTAAAGCAAGAAGATACAATGACTTAAACAAGAATACACAAATAATTTCAAAATATCTTTTATCATATAAGCAGATATATCTATGAGGATATTTGTATTTCTTCACTCTTATATTACGTAAATAAAATAATAAATATTCATACTAATATATAAAATATATTTATAACAGTTAATTATTAATTAGGATGGTAGTTTATTGATTGATTTCATTGTTTATTACTTATTAGATAAAAAATCGTGTATTGTGTATTATAACCTAACTTGCGAAAAGGAGAGTTGTTTCCAAGAAGGCAAGAACAAGTGCATCTCTTTTTCTTAATTTTTTTCTTTCAAATTTTGGGTGGGCCACAGGTCCATTTTATTGATAAATCTAAAATAAAAGAAAACAAGATTTTTACTTGCATAAAGTAAGAAAACAAAACAATAAAAAATAAAATAAGTATCTGGAGAAATCAAGTGGAAGAAGCAAAATCCAATTCTTATAAAGTTTAATAATAAAAAAAGAAGAGTACAAGCCGACCCGTTGTCCATAGGGAAGTCGAGTCGCAAACTCCTCTTGTCAAAAAAATTACTATCATACGTAAAAGTCAAACTAATATATATATATATATATATATATATTTTGACATCTCTCTACAAAAATTAAAATTTTAATCTAATAAATTAAGGCATTGCAAAATTTCCTTTGAGATTATGTTTCTGGACATGCTAATTTCATAATTATATTTTTAATTGAAAAAATAACAAGTATATTTCATAGCATTATCATATTTTTAAAATATTAATGCTCTTGTTATTCAAAAGTTAGAGTATGTATTTTTTATTTTAACGGAAGATTAAATAAAAATATAATATTTTCTGTCAATTTAATATTTAATAAATATTGAATATGTACACAAAATTATAATACATATGTGTTTGTTAGTATAACGAATATATATATTTAAATCGTAAAAACATCAATATCTAATATATAACGAGAATACGTGATTAAATCAAAAAAGAAGAAACTTACACGCATGAAGAAAAAAAACAAGTGTACCAGCCAGAACCAGTAAAATTAAAAAAAAAAATAGTAATCAAATCCATCTCCTGCTAAATTCCAAAACCTTAGCCTCCTTAAATTCACCAGGTTCACACCCTTTAACGTGTACAACATATCAACCACTTCATTTCCATTTCTAATTTTACAAAAAAACAACAACAAAACTCATATTCTCTTCCCCCAAATTCAACAACAATAACTCATTCACTGTTGTATCTGAAATTATGGGTCCAATTGTTCTTACTCAATTAGGTCTCAGTGTATTAGCTGGTGCCGCACTGGTGAAATCAGTTATGGACCAGAAGACGATGATGGGTCCAAGTCAGTTTCCTCGGTGCCCTAGTTGTAATGGAACGGGTCGGGTTTCATGTATGTGTTCACGCTGGTCAGATGGAGATGTAGGTTGTCGGACTTGTGCCGGGTCGGGTCGGATGGGTTGCAGCAGCTGTGGAGGTACAGGTACGGGTCGCCCAATTCCAGTTCAAATCTCTGTTCGTCCTCCAAACCGTTCACCTTAGAACTGCTTCGAATTTCAATATCGTTATCTTGTACTTAATTCAGATTCTTCAAATTGAGAAAGGATTAAAAAAAATTATGAATTGTATATGTTTGGCGATACATGAAATCAGTTACACCTACCAGGAAATTGCTGGTTCTATGTTGTAATTATTGTTATAGCTTTGACAAATTTATACCATGAGTTTAGCCCTATTTATTTAATTTGCTTCTTTCTTTTCTTTTCAACTCTATACATTCCTCTAAATTATTCCACTTAGATAATACAGAAATTGAATTGGTTGATGCAGAGATTTTGAATTCGAATTTCATTGGATATGAAATTGTCTCTGTGTTACATCTTGTGTTGGACTTCCTGTTTAGTCGGGTTGCAATGTGGATGATACAATTTAATTCGAACCTTTGGAGATGTTCAAACCAATAGGGTTTGTTTCTTTTTTGACTCATCTTCCTAGTAAAACTCATCAATTTGCAGCAAACTAAACTGAGTATTCTTGCTTAACGTAGCTACATTGGTGTTGGTACTCTTGATATTGGGCTATGTTGAATATAGTTTAACATTACCTGAAAATCAGAGCTTTATTAGTTAGAGATTTCACTTGTATCTGCAACAACACATATCCATGCGCCAGGACTGGGATCGTTGCCAACTGGAACTGTTCTGCAGTCTTTGTGAATCACTGAGCGTGAGTTCTTGTGCTCGAGCACATTGTTTTGCCTTTCCTATAATCCCACAAAGTGAGGCCTCAAAAAGGTAACATATATCCATTGTCCTCTCGAGGTCTCTTAAAGGTAGCGTGATACCTGATAGAGAGGTTGTTTTCGATAGATAATGTCTCAAGTAAGAACAATACAAAGCAATTTGAACAATGAAGTGAAGAAGCCGAGATAGAAAGCTAAAGAAAGTATGGAATAACAAGAAACTCTTATAGTGATACCATGACTACTAGTATGAAAGACTAAGCAAGATACCTTTCAACTACCTAATTAGGTTATGTTTAGACATGCGTAATGTTTTGTCTTATCACCTCTTTTCAATATTTTTTCATTCCATCTCTACCTCTTTTGTAACCATTCATGTCGAGCCTCTCATACCTTTGCACTGGTGCATCTCCTCTTCACATGCCTGAACCATTTAAGTTTTCCCGCATCTTATCCTTTAACGAGGTTACTCTAATCTCGCTTCCTTCATTTAAATCTGTTGATTTTTTGTTAGTTAACATGTCATCAAAACTTTAGTCAAGGATTATTCAACTAGTGTAGTTGCTGCTGATTATGTGTTAGTTAACATATTATCAAAAGCTTTAATCAACAGATTATTCAACTAGTGTAGGTGAAAATTGATGGATTCAATCAATTGTTCTTCCTAGAAATCAAATTTAAAATCATTTGGTTTTCTTGAAAATTGATTTCAACGATGTGATTGATTCATTATCTTTGGGGTTTTAGTACATACGTAAATCATAATTATCGAAATCATTAAAAAAAAAAAAACTACTCACTTATCATGATGTAAATAGATATCAATATGATTTATCATCATCCTTCAAAATATCAGAATTCATCAGCTGCTAAATGACCAAGTATATGTTATTCAAATCAATACTCTGAGAATACAAGTGTAATCACCGATTAATATAAATCATCAACAAATTTGTCAAAATATAAATAAGTCAATAGAATTATGAGGATTATATTCACCCTGGCCTTGCAGTTGTCTAGTCCATGTACCTGTCAAAAATCAGTAATGTATCTCTTAGGTGTACAAAAATGCTATAAAGGGTCTTAAGCCTCATATGTTTGTATTTGATGGAGATTAGAATCAGAATGATTCAGATATTAAGGATTAAGCTATTAAGTGCATTTGTATTTTCGACTTAAATTTTTCAACGAGTATGAAAGGATTTGAATAAATAAGAGATGCGACAAAGTTTTATTCTCATTCATATTCTTTTAAAGACATTTTATTTTTGGGAAATAATTGTGCTTCATATTTTTTTCTGAAAAATGAAATAAATTCAAGTCTCTCATTTCCTAACTTCATTAGTTATCCAAATTATTTCATTAAACTTTTAATTTTTTTTCTTGTTGTTTGTTTATCAAAAATTGATAAAATTTAGTAAAAGTTTTATTTAATTAAGGGAAAAGGGTTAAAAATACTCTTAAACAATGTGAAAGGAACAAATGTCTTTCGAATGTAGTTTGACTCAAAAATGTCCTTACCGTTAATATTTTAGTTCAAAAATACTTTTGCCGTCAATACTTTATTCCGAAAATGCCCTTTTAGTTACAAAATGGGTCAAAATGCCTTTTGACGAATATATATATATATATATATATATATATATATATATATATATATATATATATATATATATATATATATTTATTTATTTATTTATTTATTTTTTTGAACACATCTTTCTTATTAAAATGTTACTCCTATTAAAGAACATTAGTCTTGTTTTCTTTCTTCTAAAATCACTTTAACGAATAAAAATGTAGGAAGTATTTTTTTCTTCTTAATCTCATTTTATTTAAAATAGAATAACTTTATGTACTCTTTCAATAAATGGGCCGGCAGGCCAGGCGTACGGGGACCGTCGAAGAAGTGCCTCAACGCGCTGCATCCATTACTTTGGCTCCTTTTATGCAATTATGAACTCCACAAAACTTTATCAATTCCAACGCAACTTATCTGATTGGCAGGTTCAATGGCAACGAAAAGGGGATTCATTAGTTCGTTATTTAGTACGAATCGGTGAAATCACAGAATCCATACCATTCACCTTAAAGCCCCGCCTAGGAGTCTGTGGACATCCATTTACATCATTTCTTTGAAAAGCTAGATGTCACGTATATAAGATTATAGTAAATACATCATTAATTTATATTTATATAATGATAATAAAATAAGAAATACTTTCATTTTTAATTTTATATTTTGAATTGAAGCCATAAACATTTGCTAATTTAAAAAACGCTATTGGAAAAAGAATGTATTTAAAAGAAAATAATAATATATTTGTTTGGAAAATGAGCATTTTGGGCCCATTAAATAACAGTTTGGACATCTTTTAACCAAAAAATTGATGACAGGGACATTTTTGGACTAAATTATAAATGGGAGACATTTTTTTTCCGCATAATTTAAGAACATTTTTTAACAAAGTATTGAATGTTAGAGTATTTTTAAGCTAAACTATAAACAGAGAACGTTTTTTTCACACAATTTTAGTCATTTATAATTCTTTTTTGCCTTAATTAAAGTGCGAAACAACTTCATAAATATGTATCGTAGAAATTGGACGATGATACCTTTATAAATATATTTAAAATTATTTGAATGTATGTATCATCTTCATTATTTACTTCAGAGAAGAGTACATGGCAAACACATTATAGAATAGTGTTTCAATCATTTACTTACAACTAATTTGTGTTAGATTTTTGTTCTTAAAAAAAATTGACTATATTTTTTTCTAAAAGAATATTTTTATTATATATATGTAGTTCATTTTATTTTTATCAAACTTTAAATATTTATTCATAATTAAAATATCTTAAACATTTATCAAAGAATGACATTATTTTTTAATATTGTTAACAATTGATGTAATTGTCTCAATCGAAAGAAGTTTTTTAAAATTATAGTTGATTAAATTTTATTTAAGGTCAACAATATCTCAATAGAGATTGATTGAATCTATTAGCTACATTTTTTATCGAAAAAAAAATTACCAAAACGAATTGACTATAAAATAATAAGTAATGACTTCATATTTAAAAAAGTAGAAAAGTAGATTTTAAATAAAAATATATATAATTAAAAAAAAATTAAAACCTTTCTCTCATGTTTAGCTTTAGGTCCTTGAACATTGTTGAGTGGTCAGATTCAATCACAGCCGCAATTGTATCCAATCCCATAACCTGGTGATTAAATTTATCTTAGGTATGTGAGGTAATGCAATTGCTTCAAAGGCTATTGAATGATAAGGATCACTCTCCTCGACCTTACTTTTTCTAAGGCCATTGAATGATAAGGATTCACATTTCAATTATATATATTAAGTGACTCCAGAGTCTATTGGACAAACAAATTGATAAATACATCAAAAGAATTTATAATCAAAGGATAAAATTGCTGACGCAGTGATTTATTTTAACGTCATTAACACATAAAAATCGTTGCTCGATGAGTTATTTTGTCTAAAAAAAATTTTTAAAAAATCGCTACTCCTTCTGCATTTTTGCAAAAACTATTTTTAAAAAAAAGTTTAAGATCACTACTATGACAACGTTTTCAATAAAAAATATTTTTTTAATTGACAGCGATTTTTCTTAATTTCTTTTTAGTATTTTTTTGGAAAATAGCAGCGATTATATTGAATTGGAATTATTTTTTTTATGAAAAGATAATCGCTAGGTTGGCAGCGATATCAACGGATTGAACTTTTTTTTTTAAAGAAATCACTGCTTTGACAACAATTTTAGAGGATCTTTTTTTGAATTTTTTTATTTAATTCTTTCAACTATCATTTTTGAAATTGTAAATTTTGTGAACTTCCTTTTTTTAAAAAAATAATTTGTCAATACTTTTTTAATTTTTATTTTATTTTATAAATTGGCTGGAATATAAAAAATATAATACAATTTAAAATTATTATTTTGTTGGAATATTTATAAAATAAAATAAAAGTTTAAAAAAAAATTGACAAAATTTTTAAAAAAAAAGTTCAAAAAAATGGCTGCCAAGTTACATTTCAAAATTGTTACAATATTTTTTAAAAAAAAACCTCTAAAATCGCTACCAATTTAGCGATTTCATTTTTTTAAAAAAATCCAATTCACTAAAATCGTTATCAAGGTAGCGATTTTCAATTTTTTTAAAAAAAATTATTAAAAAATAAAAACACTGCCATAGCAGCGATCTTAAACTCTTTTTTTAAAAAAATGAATTGCAAAAACGCTATGGGAAGAGCGATTTTAAAGAAAATTGGAGTTGTTAACGGTGTCAAAATAAATTGCTACATCAGTAGCGATTTTACCCTTTTGGTTAGAAAATTTTTTGATATACCTTTTGAATTTTTTTATCAAATTTATTTACCCTTTAAGCCCCGGACTCTCAAAAAGTCATTCTTTATATACTTCTTATTTTTTGGACCGTTTTTAATTAATTATAATGCACGGTACATACTAATAGTGGTAGTATTTTTCTTAGGTATCTTGTCCTTTAATTTTTTTTTTTGGATAATGCCCAAGTACCCCCTCAAACTATGCCCGAAATCTCAGTGACACACTTATACTATACTAAGGTCCTATTACCCCCTGAACTTATTTTATTAATAATTTTTTACCCTTTTTAGCCTATGTGGCACTATCTTGTGGGTCCAATGATGGTTGACTTTTTTTTTCAAACTAGTGCCACGTAGGCTAAAAAGGGGTAGAAAATTACTTATAAAATAAGTTCAGGGGGTTAATAGGACTTTCGTATAGTATAAGTGTGTCTCTGGAATTTCGGGCATAGGTTGAGGGGCTGTACTTGTACATTTTCCCTTTTTTTTAATTGTTTCTTATACTTTAATTATCATATTATTTTGTTGTGGTACCTGTCCTACAAGTTGTTGCTTAATATGCTATTTCTCGTAAATCTTTTACCTCTTTTTTTGGACTATTTTGGACTATTTCTCCTTGAGCGGAAAGACAAAAAAAAAAAAACTCTCTACTTTTGTAAGGATAAGGTCTGGTTTGTACTATATGACAAAATTACTTATTACGAGAGACATAAATTAAAGACCACCATAAAATAGGGGCAAAAGTGCAAATGAGCCCAATTTCATCGTTGGCCTGTCTCTGTGTTGTTGAATCAAAAAAAAAATATTTGTATTTTAGAACCATCTTATCCGGAGTCATCTACTAAAAAAAGAATAACTTAATGACGAAGAACTTTAAAAATGAATCAAATCGATCGATAAACGATATTCAACAAAAACAACATACAATATAGTAGTATAACATTCAAGGTTGAGGTTTGCCTCAAGGGTTAAAAAAATATAATTTACATAAAGTTTGTATGGGTCATCGATTAAATCGATACAAAAATTGGACAAACTAGTCTTGAAGCGATAACCCAATAGTGAAGTGGCATGAAATAGATGCTCAACATTAAACCAATAACCCAATATAAATAAAATAAAAATTGGATAAATCAAGTCTTGAAGCGATTACATGAAACACTTGCCCAACCATTGAATCAATAACCCGATATCAATAAAACAGTAGCGTTTCGCCGGTCCAAATATCTGCCAAAAAGATTATTTTTTTTAAAAAGAAAGACATGGCTTCGCCCGGACTCAAACCGGAGACCTTCAGTGTGTTAGACTGACGTGATAACCGACTACACCACGAAACCTGCTTGTTACGCTATGCATCACAATTATACTACTTTTTGCTTGATATTATTTGACTTTTCCCCCTTTCACCTAAGATAGACTCCGTCTATAGGTCTGAAGAGAATATAATATACACATATCTTACTTATACTTCGTAGAGATAGAGAAATTGTTTTCAGAAGACCCTCAATTTAAATACGTAACATATATCAAAGTAGATTTTAAGAGAGAAAATCATAAATAATGAACACATGGATCGCAAATAATAAGAAAGACATTCTAAGCATACAAAGAAAAACAACAATAATCACCTTTAAATAAAATAATAGCCGAATCATAATATAGTAATAAACAACACATAGCAACAAAAATTGAGGGACCATTACCAATTTCAATACTTCTATTAAAACACGTCACTGTTTAATTATAAAATCGATTTCAAGACTTAAAATTACTTATTAACAAGTAATAATCAGTTAATTCAAAAGGATTCTGAATTATTTCCTAAAAAAAAAGATCATAGTTAAATAGTATGAACTTAGCTTTTTCTTTGCAGTAGTAGTTGTATAACTACTACTACTTTTTCTCTTTCCCAATTAAACGTTTGGCTTAACTTATATATATTGACCCTTCGTAATCGTGTGAATAATACAAAAGACTTGAATCATCTCAACTTTAGCTCCACCTTATCTCTTGGATCTGCTGATTTGGTGAGTGTTCTTTTATTATTTCTTCGATAATCATTGTTTAATTGTGTAATAAAATATTTCATCTGTTTCAATTTGTTCGTTTTATTTTTTTTTAAAGTTTATTTTTTTAAAAAAATGTCTCTTTTCATTCTGGTAACTCTTTAATACAACTTTCTAGATGAGATATTTAAAATCATCCTACATATATATGTACAAGTTAACATCATAAGATTCAAAAGTTTTCTTTAATTTACTAAACTTTGTATAGTCGATTTTTGACAAACAAATTAAAATGAAGGGATTAGCTCTTAATATATAAATATGAAGTAGATGTATGTAGGGCTATGGTTAATTTGTTTTACAAAAGGTAAAACCAGGCTGAAGTAGGTGATTATATAATTTCAGCTAAGACCTTAGATTCAAGGTTAAGGAGCGATGACATAAATTAGGATACATAAGAGGTTAGTTAGATAGTTGATTGTTGTCTCGCATATTCTTCTATACTATTAGTCATATTATTCTAGCAGTTGTTTGTCCTTTGAGTTCGGTTATTATCTCTGGTTTCTATTGCTCTTCCATTATCGTGTAGCTAAATTGACCACTGTTTAGAATGATAAGTCAGGTTGTTGGTAGTATTTCGTGATGACTTTTTTCATGTTAGTGTATTCTTTCTCTATATTGTTTTTTCCTCCCGAGCTAAGGGTGTATGGAAAACAGTCTTTCTACCTCTAAGGTAGTATTAAGGTTTGGATACATTCTACGACCTCCCACACCCCTCTTTGTGCGATTACAGTGGAATATGTTGTTGAAGTAAATGATGCTAATGTATTCTAAGAAGTGATCACTTTTTTAGTTTTAATGGATATTTTTAGTATTTTGTGATTAAAGTTTGTGCTAAATTTACAAGGAATATAAGTTACTACATGGCTTCATCCAACCATATCAAGTAGTGCTGAAGCAATTGAAAGAAGTGATGATCTTGTTCTTAAGATTCTAGTACTCCTCCCACTTCCCAGCAAAACCTCTGTTCATGTTCAAATTAGATTCTAAACATTGGTGATAACTCGTTTCTGATCTTTATATATCCTCCTTGTGGAGGCCTCAAAACTTCCCCGAGTGCACTCATTGTCCAGAGGTTAGCTTGGTCATCCCGGGATCAATGTGACAACTTCTCTGTCTTTCCTCTCGAAAATGAGTATACTTCTGGTAGTCGACCCTTGGATAACTAGACTCTTGGATTTCATCAAAGGCGACGCTTTAACTGATATGATTGAAATTATGAGCTCGTGTGGTGGTTTAATTTTGTGTTGTTGTCATAAACAACGGATCAGAGAGTACTACGTCTGTAACCCGAGCACTAACCAATTCAGCATTGTTCCAAGCAGTGGCGGAGCCAGACATTTTATGAACGGTTTGCATACAGGTAATCTTCTCTTTATTTCAGCATTTATGTTGGCTCTTCATTATCTCTTGTTCGTTAAATAGTGTTGGGCATCAGTGGCAGAGCCAGACATTTTATGAACGTTGTGCAAAATTTTTAAATGTGTGTTGGACATTAGTGCTGGAGCGAGACATTTTATGAACGGTGTGCAAAATTTTAAAATGTACACCGAACCTTCGACCTCGGGCCTCAAAGCTTCTAACTCACTCTTTACCATTGAGCCAGAGGCTCTACTTACGTTAATTGTGTGCAAACTTATGTATATATTTTACAACTTCATTAATTTGACCAATATATACGGTATAATTTTCCGACAAAAGGGTGTTCAGTTGCACACCCATCAGTGGCTGTAGCTCCGCCCCTGGTTCCGAGTCTGGATAGGTGTTATATATGCGAGACTTGTGTTTGGCTTTTGATCCTTCAAAATCACCTCACTATAGAATTCTTAAGGTTGGCTTACATTACAATGAGATGAACTCTTCAGAGATAAACTCCTGGAGGAGATTACAGGATCCGTTTCCAATGTCAATTCTATCGGAATTGAGAGGAACCACGGGAGTTTTCTTCAACGGAGCTACGATCTTTTGGGTGTTTAATAGCTGGTGTTATTTCAATGTGGATACAGAGACTCTGCGCTACTTAGACAATCCGATGCAAGAAATGAATACTACTTATCCATATACAGATTATTGGCTTGGATGTGTCAACGAGCGTTTGTATTTTGTTGGCCCTGCAGACGATGGATGGATCCCTCATGTCAGCGTGTTTGAATTGGGAAACGAATACTTGTGGATCCTTAAGTATAGGAATGACCCATTGTAACTTTGGAGTGGTTTTCTTTCGGTTATGGCAAGAGAAGATGAACTATTTATGGCCATATACGTGCATTATCATGACCAAGTGATGTTAATGAAGCTAAGTGATAATACTTGCAGCATGGTCTTGCCAATGCCATTACATGCTTCTGCTCGCATTGGGTCTGCAAATTAAGTTTATCATTTCATTCAGAATCCATTCTTGGTTATCTAAGTATAGACTTCTCTATGACAGTTTCCTTTGTTATGTCATATTATATGTTCTTTATAATTGTATCTGGTCCACTATATAAGTAGTTGTAAGTTCTATCATCCCCAAAACTTCACTTCATGGGGACTGGGGTAATGTTGTTGTTGTTGTTGTTGTTTTGTAAGAGTGGAAATTCACAAACATATTGTGTTTTTATGTTTATGTCTTTCATCCTTTTTGTGCCTTAAACTTATGTGTGGTTTGAAACTAAAAGTCTCTGAATTCAATCGTTGGAAATTAAAACTATCCTAATGAAAGAAAGAAGGATAAATAAGCTTTGCCCGAACTCGAATCTGAGAATTAAAACTATCCGCCTAATAAAGAAAGAAGGAAAAATAAGCCTTGGAAATTAAGACTATCCTAATGAAGAAAGAAGGATAAATAAGCTTTGCCCGAACTCGAACCTGAGAATTAAAACTATCCTCCTAATAAAGAAAGAAAAATAAGCCTTATAAAATGCGATTTTTACGAGAGAAAAAAATTGACATGGCTTCGCCCGGACTCGAACCGGAGACCTTCAGTGTGTTAGACTGACGTGATAACCAACTACACCACGAAACCCAATTTGTTACGTTTTTCCTCGTTTTTAAACACGTCAACTGTTAGTCAGCACATTTTTCTGAAAAACGAAAAGTTAATTTCATTACCTCTAATCCCCACAGTACTTTATCATGTACCATGAACCCCATAATAAGCAAAATCAATTTTTTGTCAAAAGTTAAAAGTTAAATCGCCTAACGGTATAAACTGAATATGATAACCTCAAAATTCAAACTAGTCATCCTATAAAGCGAAAAATGAACTTCCATAGCTAACCACGCTGATGAAATTCAAATTTGAGCATTTTAGCCAAAAGTTAAAAGTTAAAATGCTTAACGACACAAAATGAAAATAAGTCTCAAATCCCGAACCAACCATCCTATAAGATCAAAACTGAACTTATATGGTTAACTGCGGTGACAAAATTTCAATTCGAGCACAATTTCAAAAAACATTGATTAACTTGAAATTTTTGGCCAAAATTTAAAAGCTAAAATGTCTTACAACATAAACTAAAAACGGAAGCCTCAAAATCCAAACCTTTTATCTTATTACATCAAAAATGACTTTTTGCATCTAACTGTTTTTATCTGAGTACGTTATCAAATATATTGATCAAAGTTAAATTTTATCAAAATTTATATGCTAAAATACCTAAGTGCACACAGTAAAAATGAAAGCCTCAAAACTCAAACCAACCATCCTAGATAAAAAAAAAGACCTTTGAAGTTAATTACGCTAACGATATTCTCATCTGAGCATGTTCACAAAAATATTGACCAAAGTCAAATTTTGACCTAAACATAAAATTTAAAACGCCTAATAGCACAAACAAAAATGAAAACCTTAAAAATTGAATCAACCTTCCCGTTAGATAAAAATAACTTTTCAAGCTAATGACTGATGGAAGTCTAATTTGAGCACGTTTACCAAAAATATTGAACAAAGTCAAGTTTTGGTTAAAATTTAAAAGTTACTAAATATGAAAGTCTCAACACTAGACGCTGATTTACCAATAAATTTTATCACAGTTGGTAATAGTTCTTATTGAACTAAATATTCATATGTAATATGACCAACTCAGAATTAATATGTTGGTAAATTTTACCAATGGATTAGTGATCAGTTGGTATATTACCAATTATTTTAATGATGTTAGTAATTTACTAACTACAATCTTTATTCGTCGGCAAAATTTTCAACTCATTTGATATTGGTTGACAAGTTTATCAACAAATTACATTTCGTTACTAATTTGCCAACACATTTATATTTGGTTGGTAAATTTAGCAACACAATCTTGTCGTTGGTAAATGTTTGGTTAGTAATTCATTGGTAATATGTTAATAAATTATATAAATAATTTTTTGTCATATTTACTAACTGATATTTACTTCGTTGGTAATATTACCAACAAAAGGTGTTCGTTAGTAATATTTCTGATTATAATCTATTGATAGAAGGTTTCTAAATTTGACGTCATTTTTTTCCCAACGTATTTGCCAACTAAAATACTTAGTAAGATTTTTGTTGGTAATCTGTTAGAATTTAGTTGTTAAGTTTTAAATTATTATTCGGTTAGAAATATGTTGGTCATTTGTTAGTAGAATACTAACCAAGTTAAGTTGTTAGTAAAATTTTTTGGCAATTTGAGCTTTTTTTGTAGTGACTACAACATTTTAGGCCTACAACCACCCTAGTAAAGTGTAGCCTAAAGTAGAAAAAAGTGTAGCTTTTGATCAAAGGCTAAACTTTTGAACTTTAAGCAACAACTTTTAGGGGTAGCAAAAAGAGGCGTAACCTTATGTCTCCAAAGTAACTACACTTAAAAAGCGTGGCCAAAGAGGTATAAAGGGCACACTTTGTAGTAATTCATTAGCAAAAACTTTTGTTTAATTATACTAGACTTAAATGTGTAGTTTTTTCTTTGTTTTGGTCACATTTAAAAAGTGTTGCCTTTTATATCTCATCTAGAACAACACTTATAAAGTGTGGCAATGTTGTATAGAATTTTTGTAGCCACAATTTTTTCATTTTTAAGAATAATAAATTTTATTTTCATATACTCAATAATCACATAATTAAATATATAAGTGATCTAAAGTACAAAATTAGCTAATAAATAAATCGAACCTATATAGCTTATTCGAAAAACTTGTCTTGTACTACTTAAAGAATTCTACTATCAATAGATTCCATAAAATCAAATGCATTTAAACAAATATGACAATAGTACAAAAAACTCTTCATCGTTCAATACAATATATCGAATTTACTTCCAACCACTATTCAAATTCAATTACCGATATTTTTGTGCACATTCAACATGTAAGACTACTTGTTGTCGTATGTGTACTCTATCAGGTGAACCAGGTTCTCAGACATGACTGTAGATGACCTTTGCAATTATGAGGGATTGCGGCAAAGAAGAAAAAAATGTAAAAATAAAAAAAGAAAAGAAGGCAACAAATAAATGAAGAAGGAAAGAAATAAAGAAAAAACAATTCAAGTCAAATAAGAATATAAATAAAAAAGTTACAATTCAAGTCAAATAAGGAAAGAAGTAAATATAGACAATTTCAAGAAGAAAAAGATTCGTAATTTCTTTCTTTGTAAAAGCTGATGAAGACAAATCAAACTCTATAAAAGGTTCAAGAAGTTGAAGGAAAAAAAAATGTCTTTGCAATAACAAAAATCGAGAGAGTTTTTCTAGCAAAGCCAGAACGATAGGTATTACATATTCACGAAATTATCATCTTGAGAGCAATAGTTATTGGAGAAAAAACGCAGAGCTTCGTCACAACAACATAAGAATTAGGTTCACGAGTTGTGTTCCACTTTGAACTATTGAATGTTGAAGTCTAATCAATTAAAGTCTAGGGTTATTAGTCTTTGTTGATTTGTTCTAGGTTTATTATTGAGTTTTAATAATTTCTAGATTGTGTAACAAGAAGTGGGTTTGACTTCTTGGGGACAGAGTCTTGAGAGAGTTATAGCAAGAAGTATGTTTAAATTCTTGGAGGTAAAGTTGAGAGAGAGAGAGAGAGAATGTGAAAATTGTAAACAAGAAGTGGGTTTGACTTCTCGGGTGGTTAGAGTTAAGAAGAGTAGAGAGTTTTTGTAAACAAGAAGTAAGATTGACTTCTTGGTGAGTGGAGAGTTTTCGATTATAGTTAATCGAAAATAATAGAATTTTAGAGTTAGATTTATTGATTAACTGAGTTGTAAATCTTGAATTAATATAAAAACTTTGATGTGGTTTTTCTCTTCCTTGAGTTAGGAAGATTTCCACGATAAAATCTCTGCTTTATTATGTGGCGACAAAAGTACAAGAACCTAATTCTTGTATCAGTGTAAGGTTTCTTCAATTAGGATAGGTCTATTTTTGTATCATAGATTTGTAGCTTCATAGGATTAGCCAGATATTACCATCAGTTTTTGAAGGGATTTGCTTCTACCCCTTCAACATTAATTCATCTGACACAGAAGGATATTCTATTTCATTAGTGTGATGAATGTGAGGAAAACTTCCAAAATCTTCATACTTTGTTGACCACATCAACTATTTTAGCTTTGTTTATGGATGGTAAAGATTTCACAGTTCATTGTGATACTTCGCATACTGATTTTTGTGTTGTTTTTGATGAAAGATACTATGGAGTTCATTTATTAGTCTCCAAATTGCCATCACGTTAAGTATAGGCTGGAAGGTATGCTTTAGAGGAAGCTCATTCTTGAATGAAAGTGGGAGAAAAATTTTGTGGTTGATCTTCCTTAGACCTTGGATAAGTTTGATTCTATATGGATGATTGTTGACAATTTGACTAACTTTACACTGGTTCAAGTAACCTATAATGCACAAAAATTAGTCAAGAGTTATGTTCAAGAGGTCGTTCGATTGCACAAGGTTTCAATCTCTATCATTTTTTATAGAGTACAAACATAAGTCTAGTCTACACAATACATAATAAAGATAGAATTCATACTTGATCAACATGTCATCATCACAAATCAAATACAATTATATCTTTTCAAGCAACAACCAATATTTCAAGTTATTAAATACTTATCCAAGACAAAGACAAGTCAAATGAAAATCATATCTTTGCACTAATAATTGCACGAATCAATCAGACACCCCTCAAGATAATCAATCTCACTCCCATATGTATACACGTGCTGAAGTTTCTTATATTTGTCTTTCTAGTCATGACTTACACGAAACCTTAGGTATCCATGTATTGTGATGGCATATTACTCAATCACACAAATTGTTCGTCTGTAGGCTCACATCAGACTCGAGTCACTTATTATCTGAATAGTGGTGATATACTCACTGCATATGCACATCTTAATATGACATATATCCTTTCTAATTTCCACTCAAGGTAACACATCAAGCTAAGCATACATAGTAATAATGTCCTTATTCAGAAACATCATCACATCACAGAGTAATTGCACTACAACAAAAATAACTTTTATCGATATTAAATATTGACACTAATAAAGAGTGTTAACGTTTTTATCGGCATTAGTTAAGTGTCATTAGAACCAGTGTAGCTAAAGGCTTTAGAGACATATACAAAGAGTGACAATTGCCGCTAAAAGTACATATGTAG